ACATAATCCAGTTATTGGTGTCCAGAAACATGCATAGGTGTTCATATCTCAATTTACATGGCTACAGATGAGAATTTTTGGAAGAATGCTGTTGGTAAAACAGCATTACTGTATATGTGGAGGACAGATGGCGTTGAAGGCCCCCACTCCTTTTCAGGAACATCCATCCATGAACAGGGATTGTATACCATTATCAGCTTGTGTACCATGAATTAAGTAAACTTTAGATCTGTTTTTCAGATGTTATCTTTAATTTGTTGTAGTTATTAAAAGATAAATTATTCTGAGACTTAAAGCCTAACTCAAGGCAAAAAAAAAGGTTTTCCCATGCAGTGGGGCTATGCCCGTACTGCTCAGGTTAACTGCTCGTTTTTGTCTAGGGGATTGGAGAAAAGATATATACTTACCTAATCCTCCAATCCTCCCTGCACAAGACCGGTCCTTGTGAACCCTGACCCACCCTTGCATTCTAGCAGTCTTGTGTGGTGGACTGTTCATGATGTGAGGACGACAGGAACAGTCCACTGCTGAATCGTAGGGGAGTGCCATTTGCCTGAACAGAGGATCAGGTGAGTATACAGCTTTCTCCTCTTCCCTGAAAAACCAAGCAGTTAACCTGTTCAGTTTGGGTACAGCTCCACTGCATGGAAAACTTTTTTTTTACCATGCGGTTTCCATGCAGTTCCCGCGATTACACTACTGGATGAGATGCGTGGGGGTGCCAGAATGAATGGCACCCACTCAAGTCTTGCAAGAGAAATACGATGCGACTGCAAGTGGTTGCGGGTGCAGGAACACGCACAACCAGTCCGCAGCCGCAGGGCTAGTGTGAACCAGGGGTTAAAATGGAACATCACAAAAGCCCCGTTGAGTCCCCGTGAGCCTGATGTTGTCCCTAGTAAGCTGTGTGGGAGCTGTGTTGAGACCAGACTCCACAGCCAATGTCCTGTTGAGTCCCCGTGAGTCTGATGTTGTCCCTAGAAAGCTGTGTGGGGGTTGTGCTGAGGTCAGACCCCATCGCCAAGGTCCCGTTGAGTCCCGTGAGCCCGCTTACCGTGGGTGTCCCTACAGGCCGCATGTCACGGAGTGCCATGAACTGTCCTGATTAAGTGTCTTTCATAGTTCAATAAAGCTATTGTGTGTTCCCCATCTTCTTTGTGTGTTCTGTCCTGCCTACGCTTCCGTCACAATCACTTTTTTTAAAAACAAAAGGAGAGTACAAGGAAAGGTTAGATTGTCAGTCAGGCTTCATATTGCTGTCTGTGCCCTAGTTAGAAGTTTTCCCTTGACTTCCTGCAACCACCATGGTATTGCTGTGTGACCAAGGTATTTACTTCTTCACTTTGGCACACATTCTCCATCAGTTTTTTTTAGATGATTCCCAGGAGGCTGTAGAGAGTATTACTGGCTCTATAGTAGGTTCTTCACAGAGACAGGAAACAAGAGGAAATTTCCCCAGGGGCAACTTGGACAGTAATAAAACCTGAATTGGGGTTAGGGTCACTACTGTATCCAAAACAAAAAATGTATTTCGTTATTTTAAATTACATTTACTTCTGGCTCCATTTTGTGATATCTGATCTCTTTTCAAAGATTCCCTGTAAGTCTTTTTCTAGTGTGATGTTCATTTCTAATGCAGTGGCGCAGGAAAGTAATCATGTGGTAAATGTGTGTCATGGTCTAGAAATGTGGTTCTTGGGCTGGCCAATAATATATCTAGTTGTTGTCCCATTGCTGTGTCATCCCATCTGGAGAACAGAACAAGGTGATTGACTCCTGAAAATGTAGGATGAAATGATCTGAACATAAATTGTATTGCAACTATTGATATGTATTATGTGACAACCACTGGCCGATATATACATTTAATGTATGGTAATAGGAACTAGAGCATTTTCTAGAAGAAAATTGTAGGTTACTCACTTTTACCTATGGTTCCAAGACTTCAGAAGTCTTCTACTAAGGTCACTGCACAAGAAGTCTTGACCTGGAAAAAGTGACTTAAAAGAGCAATTTATTTAGTGTTTCTTTTTTGTGTACAAAAATACTGTAAGTTCTAAATTTTTTTAGATGATGTGTGTGTTTTTTTAAGTGTGTCTGTAGGTATAAAAGCAATACTTTAGCTGGCTACATCTCATTATCTGCGGTTGAGCTCCCTGAGAGCCCCTAAATCCAGAGCACTTGGATATGCAAATAGTGACCATCTCCTGAGGTCATTAGCTCCAGAATTCGTCTCCTACTTCATGTGCATTATCCCAAACACATCACTGTTGTGGGGCCCTACTGGCCAACAATAAGACGAGAGGTGAGAAGACATACTACAGTTGTTTAAACAACAGAGTATGCTGGGTTTAGGTTGGAGGATCAGACGTCATCAATCATATCTCTGTTTTCACCAATCTCATAATCTGATCGATCAAAAATCCAATCAAATTCAACAAAGAATCTTAGTTCTGCCAGTCGATGCAACACTGTCAATATTTTCCAACCCGGCTGATCAACTCAGTTTGATCAAATCTAAATTGACTCTAAATTGATCAGATGGGAAGTTACAGCTATTGAGTTGTTTGCCGATTTGATTGTTTTGATCGATCGGATAATAAAATTGACGCATGTATGGCCACCATTAGAAGAGGAAATATGTGTTTAATATGGCAGCATATATCATTTCACATAATGGAAAGACTTCAGTATTTCCTAAAATGTTAGGTTACTGCATCCCAAACAAAAAAAATCTGCAACAGAGGTCCTTTTAGTGTTCAAATATGATGTAATTTAGTTAAAGGAGATATATGGGATTTAAAAATAAATAAACACACATACTCACTTCCGTGCTGCAGCTGTCACACATTGACTCTAAGACTGAGAACTGAGTGATCAAAGGACTGTAAATTACTCAGTTTTCGGTCTACTCCAGGTAGAGAGCAGTGACTTTCAGTCATTGCTCTCCACTCTGCCCCTCCAGTGCTCACTGGAATGCCAGGCCATAGAAGGGGCATGAGCGTCTTGCTTCAGCCTTCAGCCTTGTGCTGAAAGATGGAGCCAGCTGTGAATCAGACAGTGGGGTGAATCCCGATAATATAGCTGGGATACTTCCCAAGCATGGATCAGCTGTGCACCATCAGTTATCAATAGCCCACTATTAGGGGCCACATCTAGACAAAAGTAATTATACTCCAGCGACCCACAAGTATGGCCGAAAAAGTGTTAATCATACTTCTCATTAAAGGAAACTGATACAGAGAGGATTATACCTGCTCCAATGGTGACCTATTCTGTAAAATCCTGTTTGCTAGGCTGTCATACTGAGCCTTTTGTTTGATACTTCACTGACCATGAAGAAGTATACAGATGAGGATATCTGACTTTTCTCTGATTTCTGATCTGCATATTTGTCCCACGTCATTGACTGAGTGCACAGAGCTTTGAAGGAATGGCATGGGTATGCCGTCCTTTCAAAATGTATGCATCGTGACTTAACTGGCTGCATCCCATGTGAATATCTCCTAAACACTGCACGTTTAGGAGATATTTACTGTACCTACAGGCAAGCTTTATTATAGGCTGTAGGTACATGCAAGGCAGATTGGAACAGGATAGATATTACCGCTTAGTGTTTTCCATGTTGGTCAGACGAGAGAGTTATCTGCATGTAGCTTATACATCTGTGTGCATTTCATGCTAATGCCAACGTTTTTGGACAGAATCAGTAGAAACATTGGTAAGACTTCATGTGCTTGTTTCCGTTTTTGATTGTGTTCCACACATTAAATTGGAATCTACAATGAGGCAAATGCTTGCTTAGTGTTGTGAAGTATAAAAAATAATACATTCCTAGTGAAAGCTTGGAAACAACAGTTCATATCCTTTACGGAAGTCCATCTGCGCCTAGATTTCTTCCTTGTTAATGAAAAACTCTCTAGCATTCTTTAAGATATCCAGGAGAGATTTCTTAAAACATGGACTCTGTGGATTCAACATGCCCATCCTGCTATACAAATAGGCAGTTTTACTTTACTATAACTTTGGAGGCCCCATAGCCCCAAGTTCAAGCGCTTTTGACATTCTCCTTTTGTTCCTTTCTTGTCTCCCCCACTTCTTCTGCTTCTTCTCTCACCCTACTGGCTCTCCTGCAGGGATGATTTACAATGTGTTCCATGTATTTCTTGGTTCGACTATATACTTTGGGCATTCCAAAAGCTACTACTTTTCTTGCTATTGTCAGATATTAGGCAATAGGTGTATAGTTCCTCATCCTTTCCTTGCGCTGATTTATCAACATGATACGGCTGATGTTTTTTTTTTACATGACATTTACATTGTCACCAATTATAGATATTTTTTTGTGCATGACTGGTTTTGATCTGTTAACTCCTATTGTTTTATTTATTTATTTCAGGTACTTATATAGCGCCATCACATTACGCAGTGCTTTTACATATACATTGTACATTCACATCGGTCCCTAACCCTCAAGGGGTGTACAATCTAAGGTCCCTAACTCACATACATACACATTCTAGGGCCAATTTAGACAGGAGCCAATTAACCTACCAGCATGTCTTTGGAGTGTGGGAGGAAACCGGAGTACCCCGAGGAAACCCACGCAGGCACAGGGAGAACATGCAAACTCCAGGCAGGTGGTGCCGTGGTTGGGATTTGAACCGGCAACCCTAGTACTGCCAGGCAGAAGTTCTAACCACTTAGCCACTGTGCTGCCCATTTATATCTTTGCTTGTAGGCATGATAGCGGTTGCGTATTTTCTAAAATCAAAACGTAATCAATAAAAATGTATTGAAAGGAAAAATAATTACTAATAAATGCGTTTGCTGGAGGCAATTTCTTATGCATCTTTATTCTTTTATTTGCAGATTACAGGACCGGACCTTGTTTCACCGTTATCAGCAACCAGATGTGTCAGGGTCAGTTGAGTGGCATAGTTTGTACAAAGACACTATGCTGTGCTACAGTGGGAAGAGCATGGGGCCACCCTTGTGAGATGTGCCCAGCCCAGCCACATCCCTGCCGCCGTGGCTTTATTCCAAACATTCGAACAGGAGCGTGTCAAGGTATGCAGTCTACATGGAGCTGCTGCAACTGCTAATATATTGATGTTGACTGAGTTAGAGCAGTTTGGACAGGCTGCCTTGTTTCATACCCCGGCATTTGCACAGAGAATGGAAAATCATTGTCAGATGCATTACCTAACGACTGTATACAAGAATGATGTAGAAAGGGGGGTGTGGGACATTAGCAAGTGAGGTCAAGACAAGCCAAAGCCTTAATGAATTTTACACTGACAAGAATCCCTCCGTGTATCAGAAAAAAGGATTTTTTAACATGTCTGACAGTTGTTTTACTTAAAACAAAGCAACAACCTCATGCAACATACATGGGACGCTGCCTTTTTATTGGTCAGCTGATTGATTGCTTTAAACTGACAAGAGGTGTGAAAACGTTACTTAACCACCTATGTCTGCAATACATGCTTAATTCTGCTAGAGCGAGCAGCTGATTGAAATCATTGCCTTTGCCCAGATGTTACTCACTTCGTTCTGAGCATGCCTCCTGATAGAGAGCTCTGACACAGTTTTTGGCTTTTGCTCTAATACTTCCAGCTGTATAAATTCTTTTATTGTCTGGATGTCTGGCAGGAAGCAGCAGAAAGTTAACAGAGGCAGCCATATAACTAAACTGTTGAGTAATCTAACTTTCCAGTACTGCGGGGGATGGGGGGGGGGTATTTTGTAAAGGTTTATGCATTTCTTTTCATGGGCGCATTAAAAAAACAATACATGTATTAGTCAACTAAACAGGGTTAAAATTCACACTGAGGTTACTTAATTTTTACTTCTCTTTTGTGTTCTTTTTTTTAGGGTAAATTTTGGTAGTTATTTTAGGGTGAGATTAAATTGTATTTCCACTTTTGCAGTCAAAGTTGAGAAAACCTAACTGTAAGTTTGTTATGCGTTCTCATTCACACAGTATACCTAAAAAAAAAGATAAAAATATTTTTAAAAAGTCTTACAGTTTAGATGTTTCTTGGGAGAAGGTGTCATGGCTGACTGCAAGCATTTCTCAACAAATTCAGAGGGAGTCTGTCCCAGTAGAGAGGCTAAGGACAGGCTGAGCTTCCTCTCATGAACACAAAATGGAGAAGCCCAGCTTTTATGTCTTTAACCCTTTGTTAGGACAGACAGTGTTCAAATCTATAAGATATTAATAAGTGTCTCCATTCACATCCCAAAATGCCAACATCCCTAAAACAGCATATACCACACAACAGTGATTTTGGATTGGGACTTTGCAGGCATTTCAATTAGATCAGGGCTTGAAATTTCCACTCGCCTGCTTGCCAATGGCGAGTGGAAATTATGGTGGGGGCGAGTGTGTTCGCCAGGGCCGTCTTGCTAAGCAGGCTCGGAGCTCAGGCCGGATCTGTCATTGGCACTGGGAGCCGTCAGACTGCTCAATAGCTGAGCACAGTGAAAGCAAAGCAAGGAGTGTGCTGTGCTCTCTGCCTCCCCCTAGAGTGCAGTACCCGGATCTGAGAGTGAACAATGAAGTACTGCAACTTTTTATGGGGGGGGTGTGTGTGTGTACGTGTACATGTATGTGTGTTTGTGTGTGTCTGTGTATGCATGTACAATTTTACATGTGTCTATGTGTATGTACATGTGTGTATCTGTACATGTGTCTGCGTGTATGTACATGTATATGTGTGTGTACATGTGTCTGTGTGTGTATGTACATGTGTGTGTGTTTTTGTACGTACATATGTCTGTGTGTACATGTGTCTGTGTATGTATGTACATGTGTCTGTGTATGTATGTACGTGTCTGTGTGTATGTACATGTATCTGTGTGTGTGCATATCTGTACGTGCCTGTGTGTGTATACACGTATCTGTCTCTGTGCGTGTGTGTACATGTTTTCTGTGTGTATGTGTGTGTGTATGTACATGTCTGTGTGTGTGTACAGGTATCTCTGTTTGTGTGTGTTTGTTGGTGGCGAGTAACTCTAAGGCAGCGGTTCTCAACCTGGGGGTCGCGACCCCTTTGGGGGCGGGGCTCGAACGACCATTTCCCAGGGGTCGCCTAAGACCATCGGAAAACACATATTTCCGATGGTCTTATTAACCGAGACACCGCAGCAGTCTCCGGCGATGTGTGGGCGGGATGATACGCTGCTGTCACCTGGCCACACCTCCGGGATCGCTCAGCAGCTCCGCCTCCTCGCCGCTGATTGGCCACCGGAACTGTAACTCAGGAGAGGCACACAGGCGGCCAATCACCGGCGAGGAGGTGGAGCTTGGAGAGGAGGAGCCGAGCGGCAGCGCGCGTACATCAAAGAAGACCAAGGGAGCTGCCGGAGCGAGTGAAGAGGAGAGCGGCCAGAGAAGGAAGACAGCTGACAGGTAAGTGAGAGAGCGAGCCCAGGCTGGAGCAGGGGTCAGAGCAAAGTAAGTATCATTGGTGTCAGTGGGAGGAATAGTGCCCCATCATTTGTGTGACTAATACCAACGATGGGGCACTATTCCTCCCCCCACTGACACCAACGATGGGGCACTATTCCTCCCCCCACTGACACCAACGATGGGGCACTATTCCTCCCCCCACTGACACCAACGATGGGGCACTATTCCTCCCCCCACTGACACCAACGATGGGGCACTATTCCTCCCCCCACTGACACCAACGATGGGGCACTATTCCTCCCCCCACTGACACCAACGATGGGGCACTATTCCTCCCCCCACTGACACCAACGATGGGGCACTATTCCTCCCCCCACTGACACCAACGATGGGGCACTATTTCCCCCCCCTGACCCCAATGATGGGGCACTATTCTCCCCTCCACCACACTGACATCAATGATGGGGCACTATTCCTCCCACTGACACCAATGATGGGGCACTATTCCTCCCCCCACTGACACCAACGATGGGGGCACACTATTTCCCCCCCCCCCCTGACCCCAATGATGGGGCACTATTCTCCCTCTCACCCACACTGACATCAATGATGGGGCACTATTCCTCCCACTGACACCAATGATGGGGCACTATTCCTCCCACTGACACCAATGATGTGGCACTATTCCTCCCACTGACACCAGTGATGGGGCACTACTCCCACTGACACCAGTGATGGGGCACTACTCCCCCCACTGACACCATGATGGGGCACTATTCCTCCCCACTGACACCAATGATGGGGCACTATTCCCCCCACTGACACCAATGATGGGGCACTACTCCCCCCACTGACACCAATGATGGGGCACTATTCCTCCCACTGACACCAATGATGTGGCACTATTCCTCCCACTGACACCAGTGATGGGGCACTACTCCTCCCACTGACACCAGTGATGGGGCACACTACTCCCCCCACTGACACCAATGATGGGGCACTACTCCCCCCACTGACACCAATGATGGGGCACTACTCTCCTCCCACTGACACCAATGATGGGGCACTATCTCCTCCCACTGACACCAATGATGGGGCACTATTCCTCCCACTGACACCAATGATGGGAGGCACTATTTCCTCCCACTGACACCAGTGATGGGGCACTACTCCCCCCACTGACACCAGTGATGGAGCACTACTCCCCCCCACTGACACCAATGATGGGGCACTACTCTACTCCCCTTACTGACACCAATGATGGGGATTGGCACTATTACCTCCCACTGACACCAATGATGGGGCACTATTCCTCCCACTGACACCCAATGATGGGGCACTATTCCTCCCACTGACACCAACGATGGGGCACTATTCCTCCCACTGACAACCAAACGATGGGGCACTATTCCTCCCCACTGACACCAACGATGGGGCACATTTCCTCCCACTGACACCAACGATGGGGCAACACTATTCCTCCCACTGACACCAACGTGATGGGGCACTATTCCTCCCACTGACACAACGAGTGATGGGGATGGGGCACTATTCCTCTCCCACTGACACCAGTGATGGGGCACTATTCATCCCACTGACATCAGTGATGGGGCACTATTCCTCCCACTGATAACCAACGTGATGGGGCACTATTCAACCCACTGACATCAGTGATGGGGCACTATTCCTCCCACTGATACAACCAGTGATGGGGGCACTATTCATCCCACTGACATCAGTGATGGGGCACTATTTCTCCCACTGACACCAAAAAAGATGGGGCACTATTCATCCCACTGATACATCAATGATGGGGCACTATTCACTCCCACTGATACCAACGATGGGCACTATTCCTCCCACTGATACCAACAAATGGGGCACTATTCCTCCCACTGACAATCAGTGATGGGGCACTATTCCTTCCACTGATACCAATGACATGGCACTAACTCCTCCCACTGCAAAATTACAGTTATGAAGTAGCAATGAAAATAATTTTATGGTTGGGGGTCACCACAACATGAGGAACTGTATTAAGGGGTCGCGGCATTAGAAAGGTTGAGAACCACTGCTCTAAGGCTGGCTGGTAGCTCAGGACTTGAAATTTTTAAGCCCTGTACTAGATTATACATAAAATACAAATTTTATTTGTCACGATACAAAAAAAAACATTAAATTTAGTCTTTTAAAACATCTAGTGATAACAGTATAACTTGGGTAACAATTTCTCATATTGGGACACATTTCGAGATATACTCTTCTGCAAGGCAAATGAGATGTACAGAAAACTAGGTAGAAACAATATCACAGCTAATCCTCATTCATGGAAAGAGTATTATCCGTATATTTTTTTTTACATGGGTGACATGATATACAACTGATAAAAACACATCACACTGGAGGGGTGAACATCCAGGATATAACTGATCATAAGATCTACCAGCACAGTAAAAAACTGGTTAACCTCTTTACACCAAGAGTATGCATATATGCGGCCTCTCAGTGGATGGGTATTGACATCAAGAGGGCGCATATAGGTGTACAAAAATATAAACAAAACCTGTACCGAAATGTAAAAAAACCTGTGCTGAGAGCGTGTGTCCTGCGCGCTCCTGGCAACAGCTACTGGCGCCTATCGGAAAGCTCCCGGTTGCTGTGACAGCCCGTCATGGCTGTCACATCCACCTCCCCACCTCCCGGCATCAGAAACTCCTTAACCACTTCCAGTCCGGACACTTTTACCCCTTCCTGTCCAGGCCAATTTTCACCTTTCAGCGCTATCACACTTTGAATGACAATTGCGCGGTCATGCAACACTGTTACCCATATGAATTTTTTAGCATTTTTTTTGAGACAGATAGTTTTATTTTGGTGGTATTTATTCACCACTGGGATTTTTATATTAATTTTTTTGCTATATAAATGAAAAAAGTCCAAAAATTTTGAAAAAAAGTGTTTTTCTATAAAATTTTTTGCAAATAAATAATATTTCATCATAAATCTGGCCAAAATTTATTCAGTTATCTGTTTAGTAAAAAAAATAACCAAAATTAAGTTTATAACCAAAAATTATAATTATATTGAAAAATTGTTTTTACATTTTTATTTTATTTTTTTTGTAATTATTTATTTATTTTTTTTTTTCTACATACTGTCACCCTAGCAGTACAATTTCACCATGGTGACACTACTACTTGTGGGGGGGGGCTGATGAAGATTTTTTTTTTTTTTACACAGATTGCTTTTACACCCATAAAGGCTGTAAAAGCAATAATTTCTCCTTCTGTCTGTCTGGCAGCCATTGAGAACTACTGTTTGAGCTGTGATTGGTCACAGCTTGTCACATGGTACAAGGCTGTTGTGAATAGCCTTGTACCATGTGACCTCTGTGATCATTCACAGATTACACACTTAGTAAGCAATGATGTCAGAAATGACATTCTTGCTTACTAATCTGCATGTGATCACTGATTAGCCAATCAGTGATCATATGATCGGGACCTCGCACAAAGGAGGACACAGCGGGCACCAGATTGCGGTGCTGCGCGCTACCAGGGAGCACGCACAGTCCAGAATGGCGGCAACCCGCCCCTGGACTGCCACCGTCTGGCCGTTTATATACAGCGGCCGGACGGTAAGTGGTTAAACGGCTGGGAGGTGCCGGTGTTAAAGGGTTAATTATAACAAAACGCAGCTCCACAGCCCCCCTCATAAACAAAGGAAATGCATAGGATTTTTTTCAGTGCTGCAGTTTTCCAGAAAAGAGCATGACTAGTGCACCCGAGATAGGTTCATCCAGACCCCACTACACCACCATTACCCTTCCATACCAATCCCCTTTACTTACTATACTTTCAGAAAACACAACACCAATTTTGGAGTAAAATGGCCAACACGGCCTTTTATTAACAAATCAAGTTTAAACACATCAACCATTCCTTATAACAGAAAACATAAAGAGTTGTCGTTGGTCTTTGAAGGCACCCCAAAACGATCCGAAATGCACCTGCGGACAACCATATTCCACTAGGCCTCCAGCCGCAACCAACCAGCTCGGAGACAACCATACCGTCCGCAGTGCAGCACCACCACCTTCCAGTTAAACCTTGGTTAACTGGAATGTTCCCGGGGCACACCATACCAACGATGGGTCCCACACCATTTTGTACCTCCAAGATAAGAACCGCCTCCAAAGACCAACCACCACCCAGGAACCGAAATAACCCCCTCCCCCAGGAGGAACACAACACTCACCAAACAGGAGGGCGGGAGGGAAGCTCTCTCTCCCACGTCCAGCTCCCAACTGACGCCCCTCCCCAGGACACCCCCACCCTAAAGTGCAGAAAACCCCCACCTACACTCTCCTCTACCAACCAGATCCCCCAGCTATCCTTTACCAACCCTAATACTATCATTAACCCCTTACAACATCTTCCTTCCCACTCTGGGCTAGTCATGCCTTTTTTTTTGCATTTTTTAAAATTCTTTAAATATCAATTTTCAGTATACAGAAAAGAACACAAAATGACAAAAACAATGCGCTCGGGTGTCCATTTATGAAAGAGAGAAAAAAATTTGAGATCCTGAGGATCACAGCTGATCTCTCAGGTGTGCCAGTTTATGAAACTGAGGTGAGGAGCAGAGAACACACCCTTCTGTCATTCACTTTTACAGTAATGGCCATTTTTCGTAGGCGAGATCTGAAGATCTCACTGGCCATCTCTTAAAAATATCTCCGTCACAGATTCCCCAGCCCAGAGCTGGAGAATATGGGTGAGAAGCTGCTGTGATGTGAGGAAGAAGGCTGCTTTCTTCCTAATATCAGCACCAGAGGTGTTAAACATTGATATAAATTATAACTGTATATGTTTATGTATGTATAAATGCATATTTGTGTTTTATATATACTGAACAGTTATATATATAATATATATATATATATATATATATATAATACAGTGAGGCACAGAAGTATTTGAACACCCTGTGATTTTGCAAGTTCTCCCACTTAGAAATCATGCAGGGGTCCCCTGAAATTCACATTGTAATGTGCATTCCCACTCTGAGAGACAGAATTTAAAAAAAAAATTCAGGAAATCACATTGTATGATTTTTTGTTAAAGAATGTATTTGTCTTGCACTGCTGAAACATAAGTATTTGAACACCTAAGAAACAGCAAGAATTCTGGCTCTCAAAGACCTGTTACTGTGCCTTTAAAAAGTCCACCTCTACTCCACTCATTAATCTAACTTAGTAGCACCTGTCTGAGCTCTTTAAAGACACACCTGTCCACCCCACAGTCAGTCAGACGCCAACTACTACCATGGGCAAGACAAAGGATTTTTTTTACCGACAAGCTGTAAAAAGACACCAGAGACAAATTTGTGGACCTTTTTGTTTTTTCACAAGGCTGGGAAAGGGCTACGGGGAAAATTGCCAAGCAGCTTGGTGAAAATAGATCAACTGTTGGAGCAATTGTTAGAAAATGGAAGAGGCTAAAGACGACTGTCAGTCTCCCTCGGACTGGGGCTCCATGCTAAGATTTCTCACCTCGTGGGGTATCACTGATGATAAGAAAGGTGTGGAACCAGCCGAGAACTACAAGGAAGGAGCTGGTCAATGACCTGAAGAGAGCTGGGGACACAGTTTTCAAAGGTCACTGTCGGCAGAACACAACGGCGTCATGGTTTCAAATCATGCATTGCACGGGAAGATTCCCCCTGCTCAAGTCATCACATGTCCAGGCCCCATCTGAAGTTTGCCAATGACCATCTGGATTATCCAGAGGAGGCAATGGGAGAAAGTCATGTGGTCAGATGAGACCAAAGTAGAACTTTTTGGTCTGAACTTCACTCGGCTGTGTTTGGAGGAAAAAGAAGGATGAGTTGCATCCCAAGAACACCATCCCTACTGTGAAGCATGGGGATAGTAACATCATGCTTTGGGGGTGCTTTTCTGCGAAGCGGACAGGACGACTGCACTTTATTAAGGAGAGGATGAATGGGGCCATTTATTGTGAGATTTTGAGCAACAACCTCCTTCCCTCAGTCAGAGCATTGAAGATGGGTCGTGGCTGGGTCTTCCAACATGACAACGACCCGAAGCACACAGCCAGGATAACCAAGGAGTGGCTCCGTGAGAAGCATATCAAGGTTTGCTGGAGTGGCCTAGCCAGTCTACAGACCTAAATCCAATAGAACATCTTTGGAGGGAGCTGAAATTCCGTGTTGCTCAGCGACAGCCCCGAAACCTGACAGATCTAGAGGAGATCTGTGTGGAGGAGTGGGCCAAAATCCCTGTTGCAGTGTGTGCAAACCTGGTCAAGAACTACAGGAAACGTGTGACCTCTGTAATTGCAAACAAAGGCTTCTGTACCAAATATTAACACTGATTTTCTCAGGTGTTCAAATACTTATGTTCAGCAGTGCAAGACAAATAAATTCTTTAAAAAGCATACAATGTGATTTCCTGAATTTTTTTTTTTTAATTCTGTCTCTCAGAGTGGGAATGCACCTACAATGTGAATTTCAGACCCCTCCATGATTTCTAAGTGGGGAGAACCTGCAAAATCGCAGGATGTTCAAATACTTCCTGTTCCTCACTGTATGTATGTATATATATATATATATATATATATATATATATATATATATACAACACACACACAATATAGTAATGTCATTTCGGACCTATTCACATCTGAGCATTGCAGAAGTATTGGCCGCATTGCACAATTCTTGCCGTGATTCCAAATTGTGCTAAAACTGTGTTAAAATACACAGTGCTCTTTTGGGTGCCATTCATTTTTAATGGCACCCCAAATATTGTTAACAGACATGCATTTTGCCACACATTTTGTCATTTGACAAATATGCACCAAAATGAGCATTTTTAAAAAAATGTGTGTTGAATTTTTTTTTGTGCATTTTGGTGCTTTGTTAACATGTATTTTGGTTAATTTTTTACTTTCATTTTTGTGTGTGTTCTGGGAAAACATGCAAAATGCATGTCATGTTTGCAGTGCCATTATTTGTTAATGGCATCCAAAAGTGGCTAGCAGATGTTCTATTTGCCAAAATATGCATAAAAACAGGTTAAAATACATGCTAAGAAAAGTACCAAAATGTGCGATAAAAACCACACCAAAATGTGTGTTAAAATAACTTGTGTGAAAATGTGTGTTATTGCACCTAAATATGTGTTTAGAAAAGCACCAAAATGCACATTAAACAACCCACACCAAAATGCATGTTAAAAAAATACAGCATGTTAAAAAGCAACAAAATTCATGTAAATAATGCCAAAATTCACAAAAAGGAGCCAAAGTAAACATTTACAGAATGTGCCAAAATGTGCGTAAAAAAAGTACCAATGGTCAGTGATTATTATTTTCATGTAATTACATGGTCTTTGTAACTTTGGTTTCACTATTTAAACTCAGGTGATCTGTAATCACACAATTATCTCACAAAATCACATGCAGCCCTCCCCCTTCTACACAGATCTCAGGTGTTCTCAGAGGAAAAACTCCTTCTGAGAACAAATGTCCTCCACTTCATAAACAGGGGAACAGAGGAGAGAAGTGAAATGAGATAAATTATCTCTGCTTAATAAATGAGCTCCTTGGTTTGAAGAGCTTTGGGTACAAAATCAATCACAGTGCTACAACAGAATACAGTAAATCCAATGCAGTACAAACATAGACAAGGATATCACTATCTATGAGAAGCAAATGTATGGCTAAGTAATAACTGAACAAGCAAAGATGAGAGAATTAGGAGCTATAGCTGCAATTTTTAAAAATTGTTTTAAAGTTACTATATAATCCTGTAAATCCTGTATAATAATAAATAATAAAGTTACGCTACTGTATCTGAATGGGAACATGTAACAAATATAAAGTAGGTGTTATCCAAATTTGTCTGCAAAAGTGGAAATACACTTTTAATCCTGTACTTGTCTCTATTATAGAAACCATAGAAATGTTGTTGCTTTAAAATTATGGGTTTTACATAATAAGAGCAAGCAGTAACCCATAATAACAGTCACGTAAATTTTTTTTAAATGTTTGATTTAGATTATGTTATTATTTGTTTTTATTACTATATCATGCTATAAACAGAACTATGATGAAAACACAACCCTTTTCCACCAGCTGATCCACATACAAATTGCTAAAATTCTAGTTACCTGGCTCCCATGTTATTCCAGTAAATTCAGTCCTGATCCATAACATATATATACTTATTCTAGGTCTGAGATTCAGTAAGTATTGAGACCAGAAATAGCCAGTCAATTAGTATTGTTTGCAGGAGATGATCACCAATGTAACCCACATATTCCTCTGGAGGCTGATTTCTTTTAAATCATTTAATAAAATATTCTGTTCCTTGTTTAATCTCCAGTTGGAAATTATTTTGGTACAAACCGGTCTTACATAATATTCATTTTAATGAACTGGTGACGGTCCTTAAGAATAATTAGCTGCAAGGGATCATACTGAGAGATGTTTTCAACATTTTGTGTTTTTGTTGTTCTGTTTCCTTGGGGCAGATGTGGATGAATGCCAAGCCATCCCTGGGATGTGTCAAGGAGGAAATTGCATTAATACAGTTGGATCTTTCGAGTGCAAATGCCCAGCTGGACACAAATTTAATGAAATAACACAAAAATGTGAAGGTAAGCGCTTTCCAAACGCATCTGGACAAAATCATTATTTCTTTTAATGTGTTTTAGGCATATTTCACAAGGCAGAGCCAAAAGAAGAGGTCTTTAGTAACAAATCAAATTTTATTTTTAATCAACTTTAATCAATTCATTGAAGCTTTAACAATAAAAGATAAGAGTGTGTTCTTGTTATAGACAGCGGCATGTATTTAGGCAGAATATATGGACATAAGATCCATTGTTGATGTTATTTCTTGGATGTGTACTGAGGACTGAGGATGTGTACTGGTATAAAAGTGTATTTCACTTGAAGCACTTTTTAAAATATTTAATGGTTAAGAGCATTAAATACTGCCAAAATATTTTGAGGGAAAAAGACTTCCCCTTTTTCAGGGCTTGAGCAGTCAATGGTAAAGTTGTTGTAAATCTTAAACATGCAATATGAACAAAGCATATCCTTCTACAGTGTGTACTTGTCTCCATCCAGGGAACTAAGTATAATTTCTGTCAGCTGCTTCATTCCTATGCTATCAGCATGAGTCATTTCTCATACGGTTTCCTGAAAGCAAGAAAAAAAAACGATGACAGGAGAGAGAGCTTCAGCACACAGTCTGTGATTGATATCCTCAGCTCTTTTCCTGTGTGCTGTGTTAAGTAGTGTGTGTTCTTTTCCTTCAGTAAGCTCTCAAAGCATTTCTCATTGATATCTACAGTGTAACTTCAGCTCCCTGCCCTCTGCTTTCGGAAAGCTCAGACAATCTTTATAAATTCTGTATTTTGAACAAATATAGAGAAGAAAAGACTGCAGAAAGACAGGTACAACTTATGAAGAATGATATCATCTCTGTGTATCACCTGATGCCAGTCCCTTCACTGGGTATATGTATGGGTTTAACAAAAGAGTGAAGGCGCCACCCTCCAATTCAATCCCATATACAAAGAGAAGCTGCCTTCAAAAGTGAAAAACATACTAAAATAAAGAATAACCAAAAAAGGCGCTACTCATAAAAGTAATAAAGTGATAATTATCTGCATATGATTCAATATATAACACATAATATAATATAATAACACCCTGTATCAAATATAAATATATAATGTCCTTATGAAATAAAAAAATGTTAAAGCGGAGTTCCAGCTGAAAAAAAAAAGAAAAAAGTCAGCAGCTACAAAAGCTGTAGCTGCTGACTGTTATGCAGTCACTTACCTGTCCCTCGGTCCTGTAGTGTCCTCATCGCGGCTGGTTTCACCGGCCGTCTTCTCTCCCTGTGCACCCGGCTGTGACAGCTTGCAGCTTCATAGCCGGGTGCCCACTTCGCATGCGTGAGAAGCGCTGCGCTTTGTGAATGGTCCTGTAGTCTTCTGGGACCTGTCACGTGTCCCAGAAGACTACGGGGAGGGAGGGGGGAGAAGACAACTTCTGCTTCTGATTGCCTTAGGCCATCGCAGCAGAAGTGGGAGTGGGTACCTGTCAAATTCGGATACCCACTCCCCAAAGGTGCAAATCCTTAATGGGGAGCAGGGGACAAAGCATTAAAGCGGAACTTCCCCGTTTGGGTGGAGCTCCGCTTTAATAAGTGTCCAAAGAAAGGGAAAGTCCGTGTAATTAACTCCACAAAAGGTAGACCTTCCACACCCAGTGTCCAAATGATTTTCTTCTCCACCGCATAATCAAGATAATCAAGGCAAACTGTAGTCAGTCATATAAGAATAGCCGGTTCATCCCAGATTCTTCACAGTCTTCCACACAACAGGCTTGTAGAATCAGGATAGGACAGTACAAACACTCAGGAGAAAGAGATTTTCCATAGTGTAACAAGTTTATTCAAATCCAATTGATAAAAAAAGTAAGTATTATACTCACATATTAATGTGCCCAATATGTATGGGTTTACTACCACTCTGATACAATCACAAAATGATTGATGAAGACTAACATCTCTTGGTTGCACTAAAGGCATTCGGCTGATATGTTAGATCCATCATTGTTACACACACATGTTGATAAAAAGACCTGTTTCCATGTGTTGCAGTGCAGCATTCTGAAATAAAGCCGTTGTTGGTGCCTTAACCTAATCTTTCAAAAATGCATATTTTTTTTAAATAAACCTGAAGACAGTGGGGTTGATTGACTAAAACTGGAGAGTGCAAAATCTGGTGCAGCTGTGCATGGTAGCCAATCAGCTTCTAACTTCAGCTTGTTCAATTAAGCTTTGACAGTAAAACCTGGAAACTAATTGGTTTCTATGCCAAGCTGCACCAGACTTTGCACTCCCCAGTTTTAGTCAATCAGCCCCAGTGAGTGTTAAAGTATGTGTTCTAGGGTGAAGTCCTAATGGGTAAATGGTTGGCATAAATTATTCTACTGCATTTTACATTGATTTGTTAAAAGGGAATTTCCAGATTATACTTTCAAGTAATGCAAAATTGTCAAGATTGTCATGCTGTAGTATCTTCTTCAATAAATGAAGGTATACAAAAACTGTAAGATTGATATTGGGGAGCCTTTTTTATTTGTTACCATTCCTGGGTTTGCTACTATCTGGATGTTTTCCATCACACTTTCTCTGTCCCTTGACTTTAGATGTCCTAAAGCAATAAATAAAATCACTTAAGGCAACAGTACTTATTGATTCTTAATGAGTGGTTACAGCAGCTTATCTAGGTACCCAGGAAGTAGAAGAAAGCAAATCTTTAAAACATTATATTGGTTGATTTACTAAAAGCACAACGACTGTTTGCTTTGCAAGGGAAGTTGCAATTTGTTGTAATTTTCCCCCTGATCTTAGTGAATGTGGTGAAGCTCTGTTGATTTCCATCATTCATTCATGTGCAAGCAAATTTATGTTTTCTTCCTTGGGTAAGTTTGGGTATTCTTTGCAAAGTGCTCCTTATTCACTAGTCTTTGGCGAAAATTTCCATACAGAGTTCAACTTCCTGCACAAAGTGAATGGCCTATTTGCCTTTAGTAAATCAACCCCATGGTGTGTAAAGGCGAAGCTACTGCCTCACCAACCCAAGAATAGAGGGGTCATTTAAAATCTGTAATAATATTTGCATCCTGTAGTAGTAGACACCTTGATCTTTTACCCTTCAAGATGTACTATAGAAGGAATTGAGGAAATCTTTGTTTTAAACAGAAAATGTTAATAGCATTCATGTTTGCTCATTCATATTTCATTCACTGAGCTTATGTTATTTGCACATGTAGAAGCGGAAAATGTGAGCTAGCTTAAAGTATAAAAGGAAATAGGATGCATCTTGGGCTTATGGGAGCTCATTTCACAAGGGTGGGATGGAGAAAGAAGCAGGTGCTTTGGCATCTCTGTATCATATGGTCTCATGTTGTACTTGCTAGGATCATGTTCCCTGCTCGTGTTATCAGCTCTCTAAGAGACGTGTCTGGGAGCTCTTACTAAAGTGCTTTCTAGAAGAGTCCTGACTCTAAACCTAATACTCTGCACTGACTAAAAGGTCCAGCACAGGATAAGGCTTAAGTGGTCTTTACACATAATCCATGTGCATTGACATCAGCCATATGTTTCAGGGGGTTTCTCAATTATATTAAAGGGGAAACACTAAAATCATTACATAATGCAAATCCTGAGGCAGCACTGAAAGGCACCCTTCATCTTTGACTGCTCAGTCTAGATCCTCACCATAACCCCTGCCCTATGTTAATCTCATCCTTGGATCCTTGGCCCTATGGAACAGCCACATTTTATGAAAAAAACTAATCCATGCAGACATGCAAATTCTGCATCCTGTTTCTTTAGTGTCCTTAGCAGCAGGAAGCAACTGAGTGACCATGAGGAGCGGTGGGTAGCAACTTCACTTCCCCCTGCTTTTTCTCATTGCCACCCATATCTATTATGCTGGGTTTCAAAAGACATGCTCATCTGCCCAGAGGATCCAACATTGTCCTTCAATGATCCGCTGGCCAGGTGTCCCAGCCACCACCTTGGTCTCCTCAGCTAGCTTCCTCTTCCAGATTTCTGGCATTCAGGCCCATGAATGGTGCAATGCAGCTCCGTTGCTCTATGAATGGGCTCTCACAGCCATCTGAGCTAAATGATAGGGATATCCCAGAGAGCTGCAGGAGCCTAGGCTAGAATTGCACCTGGGGTGTGGCAACTAGAGAATAAACCAAAAAGAAAAAAAAAATTAAACAGCTCCCCTAAAAAATAAAGACACCAGCTATTTTTGGGGCATGGACACAAAGACAATTTGTAGAGTGAAGTTTCGCTTTAAGACCATATTGTTATGTATATTACAGTGTAATGTAGGGTAATAGGTTTATATTTACTAAAATACCTAAAGCCTAAGAACAAAATTGTTATATATTGCAACTTACTAGTTCTTAAAGGTGATAACTGCATTCATTTTCCTCTTTGAAAAGTGAAAGCTACGCTTATCTGCCTCCTCCCCACCTCCACTGCCACATTTGACACCTTTTGGGGGGGAGGGGGGAGAGGGTACCTGGTTTTGACAGATACCCACTTCCAGCACAGTTCGCCGTGTGACCTATGGACTTCTTTTTTGGGGGCATAGTAAAGAATAAGGTTTTTGAGATGAAGCCCCACATAATGGATGAATTGAAGGAGTTTACCTCACAAACATTTATGGACATTAATTTCAACCAGAATTTGTGTGCTACTAAGTGTCTGGGAATGGATCCAGGAATGTTGCAACATTGATGGAGGACATTTCGAACACCTATGAGAATACAGATTGGCACAATTTCAGGAACAGGATAAATGGATGTTGCACTGAAGACACTAAACACCGCCCTAAAAAAAAGAAATAGAATTAAAGTAAAATGCCATAATCCAATCAGCAATGTAATGCCTACTTTTGGCTCACCCTGTAATGGAATATATGGGTTGAAACATAGTTTTCAGTATACCAAGGTGTTCAAAGGGTGTCATGGGTTTTATTTAGAGCTATTCATTCAAGTTTTAGTTATTCATTCAAATTTTAAAGAACGATTCCAGGTTAAAACATTTTTTAAG